AAAAGAATCACTGTTGTCTGCCCTCATGCTGGCTGAAGGGTTCAGTTTGTACATTTGGATCCTGCTGCAAGAACTACTGACTTCTAAAGGCAACTACACCTTGCCGCTTCAGAGCTCCAAGAATACTGTAATGGTACCTCCATTACAGACAAATTCCTACAAACAAGGTGCAGACATAGTGCAGATAAATACCTACAAGCAAGATGGCGCCCCTGGCAAATAACAAGGTTATTGTTATCAGGGCTGGTGGCAAAGCCTAGAGAATCAGTGTGTTAAAAATCTCTGGAAAGTGCTCATGAAAGTTAGTATTATCACATGAATACCAAGAGAGACAGGACAGGTCTAGAAACTGTGGCAGTAAATCTAAAGGGATTTTTAAGGTCCTCAGCAAGTGTGATATAAAATGTGGTAGGCTGCTATGTGAAAACATCTAAAAGTTCCCATACATTGAAAAACATCAAACATTCAGTTCCTCATGCAAGTCACATGGTGTTAGAGTGCAGAGATGTGTTTTTTTTAAGCCACAGACAGGGCTAATGAGAAGTTGTTGAAGGATGGTAGCCTAGGTGGTCCACAGTGTTGGAGACCAGGTGTAAGCTGACAAGGTCCTTGCACCTGAAGGGGCTAGCAAGGCTGGGACCCTTACCCACACAGTTTTCCCAGACTTGTTTGGATGGCAGTTATCAGTAGAATGAGAGCAACCTCTGTAGAATGAGAACAGCCTTTCATGGCTTACCAAGAAGTCTGTAACTATTTACTGAGATATGCTGTACTGAGAGCTTGTCCTTCTGCTCTGTCCCTCCCTTAGAGATTAAGAGGAACAAAGAATACATTCCTCTTGACAGACCTCCTACTCAGTGTCTTGTGTATAAATAGCATTGTGTGGTTAATAAACTTGCTGCAGTTCCTTGATTGAGCTGCAGTCCTCCTGATCCCGCTTTCCTGTCTTTCTTTCTTTTCTCAATTCCCACCTCGCTACCTCAGCCCGGCTCAACCTGTCAGGCTGGCCCTGACACCACAGAAGATCTGTATAAATCAAACCTGCTAAGATACCACTATATTTCACTATGACTGCAACCTGACCTCGTGTCATGGGAGGGGTATTCGCAACAATTTTAAGAACTGCCACTGTGTCTATGTCTAAGCGCCTTATGAATTCAAGGGTTATGGGGTACAGTTTAAATAGTGGCCCAGGTTCATGTGTCCCCTCTGACTCTCAGTATGACAAAATACTGATCAGCCTAACCTGGGTCTTTCTTAGCCTTTTATTACTTCTCATTTCCACTATTCTTTTGTTTGCCTACATCCATAGAAGATTTAAGACCAGTGTCAATGCAAAAGATTCATCTTGCAGAAGCAAAATGAACAAATCTGACAAATATTTGGTAATTGCCATCTTTCTGATAATTAATCCAAATATGAAGTAATATTAAAAGGATGTTTTAAGGAATTGACTCCTTAGTTCTGGTGTCCCTCAAGGTCTATGGAGATGGGAATACTTTCTTGCTTCCATCTGTCTTTCTATATCCCAAATGCTTGTTAGTTTTTAAATTAAAAAAAGGTAAAGTAGCTCCCTGGATGAGGCAGTCTTTCTTGCTCTGTGCTACCCAGAAATCAGCTCTCCAGAGCTTTGGGGCAATGAGAAGACTCAAGATGTACTGTTGACAGAACAAGGACATGTTATCCTCCATAGTAAGGCTGAAACTCATGGCCTAAAATCTAAAGAGCTATTATTGAGTTCCCTAAAATTTCTATGGAGAGCTCCTTTGGAAAACTCTCTGGAACTTCCTTTTCAGAGTATCCTATCAAATCCCCCATTGTAACCTCCCGTGTCGATTTTCTTTAATCTTAAGGATTTTGCATTGGACAGACCAAGGAATTTATCAGGTGAGAATCATATGATTATGAGTTCCAAATATTTTATCATTCCAGTCCGTTTTGTCCACCTGGCTTTCCCCTTTGTTTTGGCATCATAGAACAAGCCTCAGATTGGACTTGTTCATAACCTAACTAGAAAGATCAAACATTACTTGTTATGTGATTCAAGAAGAAACAGATTAGATATTCCAACCCATAAATGAGGCTCTAGTCTAGGAATCTTTTTGCCCCACAAAAGGTTCAAATTCTACTTACTAGTCATTCATTCATTTATTCATTTATTCTATAAACATATTTAGCTCTGTTAAGTTGAACCATGTAAAATTGATATTAGACCATTTTCACCTATAAAAATGGCAAGTTCAAATGGTTAAACCTAATTCAATTTTCAGCACTATTAAACCTTCTTAGGACTTCTGCTTGTAAAGGACATTTTAGAGTTTTTGATTCCTAGAGTTTCCTCTAGTCATGATTTCTCTTAAATCTTATTATTCCCTGTAACTTCAAAAGACTGGCCCTAATTTTTTAGAGTAGGATGGTCCCTGTCAAGACTTAGAATGGCACTGAACATATGAGACTAGACTATGGTGCATCTGAGTATCTCACTGTCACTTTTTTGATAGTTGTTGTCCTTGCTTATTCTGAGTTTCCAAACCTCTTCAAAGAACAGAAACTTTCTGTCCAACCTCAGAGGCAGACATAGCAATGACAGCTGAGAAAACTGTTGCATGCCACCCTACTTCACTTGAAACCATGGAATAGAGAACCTGGAAGTGGCATGTATAAATAATAAACTATAATTAATTTTTCTAAGAAAAGACTTAGACAAGTCTAATATTCACCAAGGTAATAAGTCCTTCTCTTAGATGAAAAGTGGCTTCATCTCCTTGAACAAAGACTTTAAGAATCACTAGTGAATCTGAAAATAATATAAAGATCCTGCCCAATTCACCTAGAATGGCTACTAAACCATGGCACTATATTCCCTTTAATTTCCAAAAGACTAAAGATGTTCCCCAACACTTTTCCCAATCCTTTAGTGTGGAATAACTGCAGTTCCTGTATCCCAGTACTAGTTTCAAAGAGTAGTAGAGGTGCTGGTAGCAAAAGCAAGGGTAGAGTCCAATGGATCTAGGCCCCTGCTATAGAATCTCTTCTGTGAGCATAATAATGGTGTCTGGGTGTCTGCATCACGCCGAGTTTCTTGCTTTAGTTGAAAGAACTTGTACTGTGTCCATCCATATACTCCACAGTTGAGCAGACCCTGGGATGATGCTGTTAGAGCCTGGAGGAGATGAAGGGGTGATGGAGCCCATCCTTCAGGTTTTCAGAGATCCAGGGAATAGTCCCCATTCCCCTTATTTATAAAGAATTGTTATATTTCTTCTAACCCATACCTCAAGATATGGCATAAGTTTTTAATATTTTTCTAGCTCTCCTGAACTCACTCTTTACACTGTACCTTGTCATGAATGATTGAAAGAGAGTTGGTCATATTTTTTAGTGTTTACATAAGGACAATGAAGTGATTTCAGTGCCCCTCCTTAATGCCCCATTTCCCAGGTCAGGATTGAGAAAACTTCCCTATCAGCTTAGTCAGCTCCAAAAGTCTTCTTAAATTTGATAAAGGAAGAAGAAAGAGAATTGTCCCATTTCTTTATTACTGTCTCCCTATTCACCTAGAATAGCTCATTTATCCCATTCAATTCACTCTGAATGGGAGAGAATCATGTCATTATTAGTGCTTCATAAGAACATTTGTTTTTTTGTTACTCAACCCTTAAACATACATCAATAAAATGAAGTTGACCACACATAAATATGCTCTGAAATGCATGGGAGCACTTTCACAAAGTATCTACCACATCTGTGAGGAAAATTTCACATCCTTCATAACTAAATATATTTTCTCTTTTGCAATGTAGAAATACCCTGAGGGGAAAAATTTTTGCTTACAGAGGTATGGCAGTATAAGAGAATAGGAAAAGAGGGCATGAGAACATCGATGCTAGATGTTGAAGGTGTTACCTGAAGTATATAGAGGGCCATGTGAAGCTTGGTGTCCTGTGGCTCAATCAGTTTTATGATCATCAAAATGACAGCTATGAAAACACAAAGTATAAATCTTATCAGCACTGGCTACCTGAGCATAAAATTCTTCAGTATACATGCTTAAGCATTTTTAGAATGGAAGCTATAGACAGAATGAAGACCAGCAGTAAGATTAAGCAATTATGTAAACCACTGGGCCTTGGGTCTCCAATGTTTATTCCTCAGTGATTAAACTTTACAGATTATTAGTGCAGCAATGGTAGCAAGACATACTACAGGAAGACAGTCACACTTTTTAACATTTTCGAGTTTATCAAGCTCTTTCATAAACATTATCCAATCTGATCCTTGCTACAACTTTATGTAGCAGGATGGACAGGTATTAGATCTCTGAGTTCTGTCAGGACATTTCCTCTCATATCAGGTTGCATCACATGTCTAATTATCTTAACTTGCAAAACATAAGAAAAATTTAAGGAGGTTGGGAAAAACTGGGAAATATGAGTGGGAACAACTTAAATTTTACAAGCTGGACAGGAATTTGCAGTAATCCTTCTTGGTGAGACCTCTTTGCTTGATCAGAACCCCATAATGCCCTCTTCATTGCCCAGCTCTTTCCAGTAAGATACCCACCTGGGCCCCAGCAGCACAAGAAGGCCACTGGGTAGAAGCGTACTCGCTGCTCTACGATGTGAATCGCTGCCCACTGTTCACTTCCCAAAAAGCCAGTTGATTTCACAAACTTCTTATACAGAGTCTGGGCTTGGATGAGTAAGACCTAGACAGGGGTACAGCAGTGAATAGTTTGCCCAAGACTTAGTTACTTCCCAGGTCTATCCTCCTATAATTTTAGAAGGAACGTTCTCTTAGGATCTAATAGCAGGAAAAGCTCATTCCTCTGTCTTTACTATCTGAAACCAGGCTTTTTCTGAGAGAAAATTATCTTCAGAATGAACTTTTGCTTGGCTAGGGAAATAGACAGATATTAGCCAAACTTGTGGTTACCATGTTCAAAACACGAACCTTAACAATAACGCTCAGGATATTTTCTCACTGAGACTGATCATAATATGCATGAGAAATAAAATTACTAGTAAGATCTATGCCCTAGCCAGTTTGGCTCAGTGGATAGAGCATTGGCCTAGAGATCAAAGTTTCCTAGGTTCGGTTCTGGTCAAGGGCACATACCTTGGTTGCTGGCTCCTTCCCGGCTCAGGCCTGGTCAGGGTGTGTGCAGGAGGCAACCAATCAATTCTCTCACATCCAATATTTCTCTCTGTCTTTCCCTTTCTCTAAAAATCAATGGAAAAATATCCTCAGGTGAGGATTAAAAAAAAAATCTAACCAAACCCTCTTTAAAAACCCTTTATTAGAAGTTATGTTAGAAAGTATTCTATACTTAACATCCTTAAAATAAATATTTTAGCACTGTGACTGAGCTTAAATTCTCAACTGTAAGCAAAAAAAAAAGGGGGGGGGTCTTTTCTTGCCCTTTAGCTAATTGAAAGAAATATAAATCAGTTCAGAAGTCCAACATGATTTTTGTGGGGAGTGAATTATGTAATAATCTTGGTAACAACTTTGACCAAATTTGAAACTTTTCCCTAATAATCCAGATCCATACTCTAAATTAACAACCAATTAACTAAAGGTTTGGCCATTTAAGTTTCTTTTTTCCCCACAGAAATAGGAATCAAAAGGAGGCTTGAACTTATTTGAGAATATTTATGGCTAGTAGAATCAGTTCATCATCTGTTGTTTAAAAAAGAATCAGAATGTGCCCAGCTGGTTGAACGTTGACCTATGAACCAGGAGGTCATGGTTCGATTCCTGGTCAGGGCACATACCTGGGTTGTGGGTTCGATCCCCAGTGTGGGGCATGCAAGAGGCAGCCAATTAATGATTCTCTTTCATGTTTCTATCTCTCTTTCCCTCTCACATTCCTCTCTGAAATCAATATAAATATATTTTTAAAAAAGGAATCAGAATGATAATTCTGAATGCCCACTGAAGCCTGGGTTATTCTGAAGAAGCAAACAGGAATCCCCACGGTGCCAGGCTACCTGTCTCTCTTGTCAATCAGTTCTAAATATAAACCATTAAAGCCATTTTAATGTAAATTAGTCATTGTGCAATCTTTACAAACTTGCTGATTTGAGCTAAGTTATCTCCATAACTTGTATTTGAATTATCAAAGGAAATTCTCCACAATTATATTTGGTTCATGTGTACTACCTGTACTAGGAAACAAAACATATTTGGGGGATAAATTTGGTCTGCAGGTAGATAGTTTGTAATCCCTGAACTAACATATAAAGAGAGGAGAAAATGATACTGAAAAATAGATATGGAAAATCAGAAGGCATATTGCTTGCTTACTGATTTTGTACTAGGCAGTTATATATGAACTAGAGGCCCGATGCATGAAATTTGTGCAAGAGTAGGCCTTCCTTCCCCCGGCTGCTGGCACCAGCTTCCCTCTGACACCCAGGACCTGGGCTTTCCTCCAGCCATCGGCAGGCACCAGGAACCCTGGCTTCCCTCACAGCCTCGGCTTCATCTGGAAGGACGTTCGGTCTAATTAGCATATTATGCTCTTATTATTATAGATAATGTATTGTCCCATAGCTGATTATTTTAATTGTACATAATTCTGATGATGTCAGGTGAGTACTTAATAACTGCCTGAGTCACTTAGCACCTTAACCCAGTTAGACATATCATAATCACAAATTTATAGCCAATAAAGAATTGAGAAAAGAAAACTCTTTCATTATTTGGAAAATTAAACCAAAGCTCACCCCACACATTCCAAAGTATCTATATATACTAGTATAAAACTCTAATATGCAAATAGAATGAACAGCAGAACAACCAAACAACTGAACAACCAGTCGCTATGACATGCACTGACCACCAAGGGGCATGCGCGGAACGTAGCAGGCATCAGCAGCAGACAGCAGAGTGTGAAATATGGTGGGCATTGGCCATGGCGGGATGGTGGAGCAGGTGAGAGGGGGCACCAGACCAAGGCAGGGCGCCAGTCACTGTCATTGGGGCGAGCCTCTGGTGGTTGCTAAAAATTCTTAGCTTCCATGCACTGCGATCCCACCCAGCACTAGCACCCACAGCTGGCGCCAGAGCTGCCACTTCCACCCACTGCCAGTGTCTGGCACCGGCCCCTATCTCTCGGCACCGTAAGCAGGTGCGAGCGGCAGCTGCTGGCTCTGATCGCCCCTCAGGGCTTCTCCACCTCCCCCTGCTCCTAAGGAGCAATCAGAGCTGGCAGCTGCCTCTCGCACCTGCTGCCAGCAACAGCCCTGCTCGCACCCGCTGCCAGCACCTGGCACCAGTCCTGATCACCCCTGAGGGCTTCTCCACCTCCCCCTGCTCCTGAGGGGCAATGGGGCAGCAGCCACTGCTCACATCCACTGATGGCACTGCCTTGCTTGCACCTGCTGCTGGTGCCAGCCCCAATCGCTCTGCGCTGTTAGCGTGTGGGAACAGCAGCAGCGGGAACGGGGCTGCTGGCAGACAGGGGACTGGAGGTTGCAGCAGGAGGGGCTGGGTAGGGGCGCAGAGGATGGGCGGAACCTGCCCCTGTGCCCATGGCAGCCTCATGGCCCACAGTTCCTTTAAAGTTGCACAAATTCATGCACTGGGCCCCTAGTCCTATATAATAAAAGGCTAATATGCAAAATGACCGAACAGTGGAATAACCAGTCGCTATGATGCACACTGACCACAAGGGGAGCACTGCTCATCCAGAAGCTGGGCTCATGGCTGGTGAGCGCAGCAGTGGTGGCGGGAGCCTCTCCCACCTCCATGGCAGCACTAAGGATGTCCAACTGATGGCTTAGGCAGGAGTGGGCCTAAGCCATCAGTTGGGCTCCCGGACTGCAAGAGGACGCAGGCCAGGCTGAAGGACCCCCCTCCCAACCCTGACCCAAGTGCACAAATTTTGTGCACTGGGCACTCTAGTCATTCTATATAAAGGATATACTTGACACATTGTAGTTTTCTGCTCTGATCCTCCATGGGGATCCACAAGAACATATATTACTTCTAGAATGAGGATAATTCCTACAGAATGAATACAGGTTCTTTTTCCCACTCATCATTTGATCTTGGGAAGTCCAAAAGACTAAGGTAATAATTAAATTGTCAATATTTCCTAGCCACTTTGTTAAGTCTGGGACTATCAAAAGTGATTCTCCACCTCATCTTTTCCAGGCCTTGGGAGTACTACCCAATCCCTCCCTATCCCCACTTCTTTTCATAAAGGCAGATAAGGTGGCACCATACCACAATGGTGAAGAGGCTGAGTAGAAAGCTGGCCAGGAAAATGATGAGCCCATAAAAATAAAGTGTTCTACAGACTGATGTGTTGGCAGAAGGCAGGAGTTCAGCCATGGCTGATGGTGGTGAGTGCATCAGGATACACCTAGGAAGAGAATCAATGGACAAGAGCACTGCTACAGATATAAAACTAGAGAGATACCTATTAGTGCAACAAAAGTTCATGAGTATAAAATTTTACTTATCATTTTGCTAACACTTTGTTTCTTCTCATAGACACATTATTTTCTAGTCACCTTGTTATATTCTATGTATGTATTTACAGCCTTGACTGCACATTATTCTCATTATTCACATAGCTCATTTTAAATACAACACCTTAGCCAGAATGTATGTAGAAAGTCCTCTTCTATCTCCATTTATAGAACAGAGTATGTGTAGACGACCATGAAAATGATAGATTTGGTCCTTACTTACCTGTGGTTCTGGCTAAAGTTGCGGAAACATTCACTGGCATTGCCCAGACAGAATACAGGTATCATCAATAGTAGAGGTATCAGGCTAGGAGGAAAAAAACTTATCACCCTAATATTCAGACTGTTTTATGCCCTCTTCCATCTGCAAAATATTATCCTGTTCTTTTCCCTCTATCATCCCACCACTCTCCACTAATACATACACATTTAAATTCTCTAAGAAAAATCATTCAAAAACCTTAAGTATACTGTCTTTTTCAATACCTGGGGAAGAGAAGTGAGGAATGCATTTTATACTTAGGGTAATGAACACTAACAGAGTTTCATAAAGAGTCTCTGGGAGTTGTGTGGTCCGATAAAATCCAAGTGGGTCAAAATGAAAGGAAAAATTTTACAAGGAGCTCTCTGCTTGCTCAGTCTGTTTCACTTTCCATGGTGACCAGAAATAACTTCATTCTCGTATGCCCTTTCCTGGGAGCTTTTCTAAAATAGACCTTTAAATAACCCAATTATTATCCAGAAGAAAAGATCCAGGAGTAAGAGTTACAAAATCTAAAACCAACTCTGTAATGACCACTTAAATGAAATCCAGACCCCTTCTGGGCTTAATAATTTTAAGAATCTCACCCAATGTTATAAAGGTAGATGAGATCTTGAAAGCCCCTATTACAACTCTTTAAGAGATGTAGAAAGGAATTAAAAGTCCAAAGACTTAAAGGGAAATACCTGACAGGCACTTAGAGTTGATGGCAGAATTGAGGCTAAAACCCAAATCTGTAACTTCAAACTGTTTGCCTATTTGAGAAAATGGAACCAAAGATCACATATTTGTTGCTTCCTACTCAGTAAGGCTCCAAGAGGACATAGGCATGACAGACTCAATAGATATAAAGGACATTGTTCTCCTATTTGCTCCCACCTAGACCCCAGAATAATGAGAGTCCACACCTTGCTAGGAAAGAAAGCAAAATATCTTACCTTGACGAAATGATGGCTATCTGACCAACTCGATAAGTATTATCTATAACCTATGAAAAGGATAAATGTGAGCAATGTCTTAGGATATTGCCAATCATGTTATAATAAATACCAGGTTATTATGTGTCACTTGACAGAATAAAAATTCCCAAGAGTCAGCTTGCTTCATTAAGAAATATTTGCTATAAAATTCAGTGAAATAGTTCCTTAGCATAGGAGATAAGAGAATTTTATCTGTGTTACTATATTCTAAACAATAGTCACAAAGAGAACCTGTAGGAAGTAGCTTAATATAAGATTTGACTACCAGAACAAATTCTCTTTAAAAAAAAGGCAAATGTTAAATCACACAATGTTCCATCTTCTAATAACAGTTCAATCCTCTTCTTTTATATCCAGGGAGGTGTGGGATTTTTACTCCTTATGAATGGAGTGAAAGTCTATGTATAAGATGACCAGCAGCCGAACCGGTTTGGCTCAGTGGATAGAGCGTCAGCCTGCGGACTCAAGGGTCCCAGGTTCGATTCCGGTCAAGGGCATGTACCTTGGTTGCCAGCACATCCCCGGTGGGGGGTGTGCAGGAAGCAGCTGATCGATCTCTCTCATCGATGTTTCTTACTCTCTGTCCCTCTCCCTTTTTCTCTGTAAAAAATCAATAAAATATATTTAAAAAAAAAAAAGATGACCAGCAGACCCTAGCTGATTTGGCTCAGTGGATAGAACATTGGCCTGTGGGCTGAAGAGTCCCGGTTCCGATTCCAGTCAAGGGCATATACCTCGGGTGCAGGCTCCTCCCCAGCCCGGGCCCTGGTTGGGGCTAGTGCAGGAGGCAACCAATTGATGTGTTTCTCTCACATCAATATTTCTCTGTCTTTCCCTCTCTCTTCCATTCTCTCTAAAAATCAATGGAAAAATAGCCTCGGGTGAGGATTTAAAAAAATTAATAAAGATAATAAAAAATAAATTTAAGAAAGATGACCAGCAGAAAGTATAACAGGCCAGGGTTAGTATAATAAGGGCAAGGTCAAATAAACCCTTTGGATTATAAGCCCTTCAAGACTTGTTAGATTCTAGAAGAAAGAACATTTCAAAAATCTCCAGTTGTGTTAGACACTGTAAAACAAACTACAGAAGAATGGTCCCTACCCAGTAGGAATTTATGGTGAAAGATATTGAACATAACACCTTAAAGAGATAACAGAAGAGAAAACAAGTGTTGTTGTTTTTTTCTATTTTAAGGTAGAGACCATATGGGATGGCATTGTTAGGGATCAATAAGCATTAAGTGAGCAATTAATTAATAACCAGAGATGACTAACTGACTTGCCTTAAGAACTTTGAATCAAGAATAGCAAATTATTTCAAAATGGGAAATAAGTAAAATTAGTCTTTGGTGACTTCTCCCACTCATGTCCCTTTTTCTCTTTTTATTATATCCTCTATCCAGCAGGTGGCTATCCTGTGTTTAATTCTTATTCTTAACTGGATATCAATGAATCTCTGATAAAAAAGTTTATTAGTAAAAGTTTAGGGCATAAGTCTTGCTAGGGTATTTAAAAGAGAACTCAAACATGAAAAAAAAAACATGTCAAGGCTTTAGGAATAAAGCTAAAATGACAGAATAATAGACAGTGGAGTTAAATTTTTTGGCTAAAGTTTATCTTCTTGGAATATTAGTGTTATAGCATGTGTTACATAAAGAAAAGCACAATATGTGCATTTGTATGACTATAAAGCAATAGAACACCATATATGACAGTTAATCTTTGTCTCTCTCTCCCTTTTCTTCAAAAATTATTTTGTTCTGCCCGGCTGGTGTAGCTCAGTGGTTGAGCCTTGACCCACGCACCAAGAGGTCAGCAGTTTGATTCCTAGTCAGGTCACATGCTTGGGTTGTTGGCACAATCCCCAGTAAGGGGTGTGCAGCAGGCAGGCAATCAATGATTCTCTCTCATCATTGATGTTTCTATCTCCTTCTCCCTCTCCTCTCCTCTCTGAAATCGATAAAAATATTTTGAAAAATATGTATAACTAGAGGCCCGATGCACGAAGATTGTGCAAGAATGGGCCTTCCTTCCCCTGGCTGCCGGCACCACCTTCACTCTGGCCGGAGCTGCCTTTCTGCCTTAGTTCAGGCCTGGAGCCACCTTTCCACCTTCCCACACTGCCCAGAGGCCCAGAGCTGCCTTTCTGCCTTCGTTCCTCCGCCTTCTCACGCTGCCCAGAGGCCCAGAGCTGTCTTTCTGCCTTCGTTCCTCCGCCTTCCCACGCTGCCCAGAGGCCCAGAGCGGCTGGGGTGGTGTGGAACGCCTGCATCGTCGCCATGGGTACGACACAGCCGCTAGGTGCCTGCATATGCAAATTAACCCACCATCCTTGTTGGGTTAATTTGCATACTCACTCCTGATGGGCTGGTGGGCATTGTAGAGGTATGGTTAATTTGCTTCTTTTTCTTTTATTAGTGTTTTATAGCTTATAAAACATATAAAGACATTTAAATAAATGAAAATTGCTCATATCATAAAAATGTATTCTGCCAAGATCACTTAGTGATATACTAAAAGAGTCAGAAATAAGAAAGAAAATATACAATGTAATACTATTCAGCAATAAAAAGTAATGAATTACTTATATAATACTATAATGGATAAACTTCAAAAGCATTATGCTAAATTAAATAAAACAGACAAAAGAAATTATATACTGTATGATTCCATCTATATAAAATGTCCAGAAAAGAACAATCTATAGACAGAAAGTAGATTAGTGCTTGTCTAGTGCAGAAGGTAGGAAGGGGATTAACAGTAAATGGGCATGGAAGATTTTATTGGGGTGAAGAAAATATTCTGAAACTTTCATATGATGATGACTATACAACTAGATAAGTTTACTTTAAAAACCACTGAATTGTATATTTAAAATAGGTGAATTATATGATATGTAAAATACATACATGCACACAAAGAGTCCAGATATACTGACTTAGTGAATAATTATAATGCTAGACAGTGCCAAAACTCTGTGAACCAAAGGGGGAAAGACAACTAACTTCTCCCTGGGTTAATCTTATTTTCTGATTACCATACATTAATTCCCCTGCTCTTCTGCAAACCAATATATTTTACCTACTCATACTGAAAAAATACAGCAGAGCAGAACACTCGCCCTTTCCATACCTATAGTTCAAATCCCAGGTTTCCAAACTGAACACTTCCCCTGACTCTTTGCCAAGATCTTTAGCAACAATGATGTACTGGCATAGAGCCAGGATTATTTCTTTTACTGAATAGAACCAGGCAGGAATGGCAGTACTGTGCATAATGTTTCCCATAATGGAGTCTTTTTTTTTTTTTTGGGGGTATGAGATATGGGGAAATCATGTTAACAGGATAGAAACTCAGTGAGAACATGTTTTCCTTTTATTAATCTTAATTCACCTAGTCTGTGCTGAGTGTTTACAATATTGATCAAGGATATATGGGTTTGTTTTAGCATACTGTTCTTAACTATTAACTTTGAATAAAACTTACCAAGGAAAATGTGCTCTGTCCACTCTGGGTGTGTTTCATCCTTAGTTCTTTGTACAGATACCAGACATAATTGACGGTGTAGAGAAATGAAGAAATGTAGAATATCTAGGTAAAAAATCAAAACAACCCATCATAACTGCCCCACTCTGATTTCCTTCGATTTATTCCATTATTTTCTATTATAGGAGTTCTACCTACTATTCTATTAGTAACTTACTATCTAGTATCCATACCATGTAAAATATGGGAATTCTATCCAGCCTACCTAAACCATGCCTCAGCTTTTTTTAAAAATATATCAGATACCAGACATAATTGACGGTGTAGAGAAATGAAGAAATGTAGAATATCTAGGTAAAAAATCAAAACAACCCATCATAACTGCCCCACTCTGATTTCCTTCGATTTATTCCATTATTTTCTATTATAGGAGTTCTACCTACTATTCTATTAGTAACTTACTATCTAGTATCCATACCATGTAAAATATGGGAATTCTATCCAGCCTACCTAAACCATGCCTCAGCTTTTTTTTTAAATATATATATTTTAATTTTTTAATCCTCACCAGAGGATGTTTTCCCATTGATTTTTAAAAAGAGCAGAAGAGAGAGGGAAAGACAGAGAGAAATATTAATGTGAGAGAAACACATCGATTGGTTGCCTTCTACATGCATCCTGACCAGGCCCCCAGCCTGAGGAGGAACCTGCAACCGAGGTACGTACCCCTGACCGGAATCTAACCTAGCACCCTTCGATCTGCAGGCCAATGCTCTGAGCCAAACCGGCTAGGACTATATTTTTATTGATTTCAGAGAGGAAGGGAGAAGGAGAGAGAAACATCAATAAGAGAGAATCATTGATTGGCTGCCTTCTGTATGTCCCCTCCTCGGGATTGAGCCAGCAACCCAGGCATGTGCTCTGACCGGGAATCAAACTGTGACCTCCTGGTTCATAGGTCAATGCTCAACCATGAGCCACACTGGTGGGGGCCAGCTTCCTTTAAAAAAAAGAAGTTTTTATTGATTTTAGAGAGAGAAGAATGGAGAGGGAAAGAGAGAGAGACCTGCCAGAAACATTGACTGACTGCCTCCTGCACACTCCCTACTGGGGATCAAGCTGGAAACCCGGGCATGTGCCCTGACCAGGAATTTGAATGATGACCTCTCCATGCATGGATTGACGCTCAACCAACTAAGCCAACTAAGCTCAACCACACTAACCAGGGCCTTATTTTATCCTTTGACTGTTCAGAGGAACCGCAGTATTATCCAACTCCTCTCACCTAACTGGTCCACTTTTATGCACAAAATAGGTCCAGAGGCATGAATGTATGGAACAGAATGACAGAATTCAGAGGAGAGGGAAGTAAAAGGGATGATGACAAGAGATTAATCAAAGAACATATATGCATAGACCATGGACACAAACAGTAGTGTAGAGAAAGCCTGGGTGGGGAAGGACTGGGGGGTGGGGGATGGAGGACATCTGTAATACTGTCAACAATAAAAAAAAATCATAGAATCTTTTTCTATTTTATTTTTTATTGAAAATGCCATAAGGATTTCAATTTATATTTTTTATTAAGTTTACTGGGGTGACATTGGTTAATAAGACTATATAGGTTTGAAGTGTACATCTCTATGATACATGAACTGTATATTGTATTGTGTGCCCACTACCCAAAGTCATATGATCTTCCATCACTATATATATGACAGCCTTTACCATTTACTACCCCCAACCCACCCCTTTCCCTCTGGTAATCACCATACTGTTGTCTGTGTCTAAGGGGGCTGGATGAAAAGGGTGAAGAAATTTAGCAAGAAAAACTCATAAATGCAGACAACATTATGGTGATTACCAGAAGAAATTGGGGGTGGGGAGATAAAGGTGGGGAAAAGTGATGGACAGAGACTTGACTTGGGGTGGTGAACACACACTATAATATTCAGATGTATTATAGAATTTTACACCTGAAACATATAAAATTTTACTAACCAATTTCACCCCAATAAATTCCATTTTAAAAGAGGAAAAAACTAACAGGAAAGTTGTTTTTAAAAATAACAGAGAAGTCCTAGCCAGTTTGGCTCTGTGGATAGAGTGTCAGCCTGTGGACTGAAAGG